ACATATGCAGCGCGTGTGAGAGCGAAAGAGAGAGAGAGAGAGAGAGAAAAGGGAGAGAGGAGAGAGAGAGAGAGAGAGAGAGTGAGAGAGAGGAAGAGAGAGAGGGAGAGAGAGACACACACAGAGAGAGAGAAGGGGAGGGCGTACGTGCTGCAGCCGCCGCTTTGGCATGGACACGCATAGCTAGCTAGTTATAGTTTCATCATAACTCACAGCGCGCCCAACACCAGATGTACGGGAAACTACGGCGCAGCGAAGGCACAGCGCTAAGGAAGTTATAGCGCGAGGGAGCGGGAGGAGGTGCGGGAACAGAGCGAAAGAGATGGGGGAGGGTAGGATGGGAGGAGGGGAGACAGAGTGGAGGAGAGGAGAGGAGAAGGGAATGAGGTCACCATAACCTCTCTTATAACCGTTTGTTTTTGCAGCCATGTAAGGCGTGCGGGTCACTGGCAGGGGATAGGTGAGGGGTAGCGGGGCCGGGTAAGGGACAGGGGATAGTGGGCGAGGTGGGATAGGTTCTGCTAGCTAATGCAGTCGTGTCAGAAGTGCGAGGTCGGAGGTATATGGAGGAGGAGGAGGGGTTGGCTCTCCCTACAGCTACCTGTCTTTGTTCATTGATGACCCCATTTCCAACATCACTGCTACAGCGCAGCGCAGCAAACAGTACGGCACACACACGCACGCACGCACGCACGCACGCACACACACACACACGCACGCACGCACGCACACACACACACACACACAACCGTTCCCCCAGCGCTGCGTGCATGCCTCAACCTGGAGAAGTCACCTCCTAACACGCGGATAGCACGCGCCACACACCGCTCTCTCCTCCCCCTCTCTCGCGCTCTCTCTCTTTTTATCTCCTTCCCCCATCCCACCCATTACTTTCTCTACCCCTGGGGATTAGAGAGATATTACGGTTATACATATATATATATATAACCGTAATATGTGCGTGTGTCAAGAGAGAGAGAATCTATATCAATATCTACGGATGTTTCTTACGATGTCCCATCAAGAAGTCTCTCAAGAAGAGAAGACTCCCAAGTTACCAATTTTCGTTCCAACACACGACCCAGCTCGTATCCAATGCAACAATTAATCACTACATGAAGTAGCGCGGGGGGTAACACGCTGAGATCCGAGATGATTATAACAGCAGAGTGCTGATAACGGCGAGGTATAGCAATTATTGGAACCTGTAATCAAAAAACAACCTGTAACTTCAGGCTCTTCTAATCTCACGCGCCTTGCGCGCGTGTGTGTGTGTGTGTGTGTGTCCACACAGCAGTCATACAGAAAGTCCAGCTACCGATACTTCTACACGCACGCAGTACCCGTCGCGGAAGAATCTTCGTGCGGCTCCTGCTACAGCAGTCAACAACAACATCAACAATAATAATGCACGCGTGGAAAATGGAGGCGGTTCCCAGTCAACAACGTGGCAAGAGCAGCGAAGTACAAGTGATGGCTGCTGCCCTTAGTGCTACGATATAGGAACGACACACGTGCACGCACACATAGTACACACACATATCAGTATTTACACGCAAAACCCTCCCAACTTGATTGCACTTACTCTTACACATTATTGCAATCATACACAGGCTCCCAACTCCGTATTGCTATATTATAATCAAACAGAGAGCTTGCGTCGATCGAGCGACTGTACAGCTGTATAATATCTCGATATAATAATAAAAAATCTACTCTATCCGTTAGTAATTCGGGGGAATGTGGAAGCAGTCTTGCCGAAACTAACTTCAAGTATTAAATAGTATATAAATTGGCATATAAATAATAAGAACGGGCCACGGGCCACGTATGGCTCTCTACATCATCTCTCCCGCTAGCCCTACAGACCAGTCATTCAGCCATTCATTCATTCGTCATTCAATACAATTAACTTAGAGATAAATACTGCCACGTTTAATGAGACGCACCTCAGCGTCGACAACGTTAACTTACTCTTAAAATACGCTTGGCTCCTACCGGCCGGTGCTACAAAGACGTTGATGCCCAAACGCACGAGTGGGGTGGGAGGGTGGTTGGATTGTTAGTGGTGGGGTGAGGGTGGTTAGCGGTTGGGTGGGGGGGGAGGGGGGGGTTGGACTGTTAGTGGGGGGTAGTAGTGGGGGAGGAGGGGTGGGTGGTTAGTGGTGGGGGAGGGGGTAGCATAACCTACCTTTCTGCGCTCAATCGGACACAAGCGCATGGAGTACACATGCAGTATACACACAGTAGCAAGCTTAACTATTACAGTCCCCGGCAGGCTACCCACTGCGTTAATGCTAGTAGGGTCGGGTTTAGGGCCATGATTACGAACTCTTTCCATCAACGATAACCCTTAAGTTATTATATCACCGTGATGGTCCACACACATCATTTCGGCTAAGATTTGCACCGCATTGCCCCTCATTGGCAGAGTATACCGTGTGGGGGTGGGGGAAGGCGTGAGATGGGGGCGGGGGTGTACGTTTCATACGTGTACGTAGAAAAATAAATACGTAAGCCATCTTACACGCCGCACACGACTCATCCGTGTTCAGTGTAGCCACGACGCACGCGTGTGTCTCCGTCACTGAGGTGGCAGCATCACGATTCACCTCTTTCACACGCACAGCCAGAGAAACCAGCGAACCGCGGACACGATCTGCATTGGCAACACTCTGCATTTCCTCCTCGCGGGAGAAGGAGGGAGGTGAACATTTACACACATCTCACCCCACGTCGACTCTAGAGATAGACGTGGGCGAGCGAGTCTGCGAGTGAACAACGTGACGTATGTGGGCAGCAGCATGAAACACGCGCAGTTCATTAACCTGTGTATAAAGGTCACTCGAGGAAAACACCGAAAGTGACCTTTATGGACAGGTGTCTGCAGCATAGACGTCGTTTCACCGTATAACTGCCACTTAGGAGAAGAACCCACTTTTTTTTGAAAGATGCCCGTTGTTATAGAGATATCTATTAATGCAGGTTTCAGTGTAGCATTAAGAGTAGATCAGACTCATATATCAAAAGTACATTATACCAATAAACACTGTTGCAAACAGTGCACAAAGGGTGGCTTGCAATCAAGTGAAATCCATATTTTCCAACACCCATCACTCAGTAAAACCAGTGCCCGGTGAACGTTCACCACTCCACCGATGTGTATTCGAACTGCAAGTTCTCATACATGAACAGTAAGTAGCCAGCCCTTACCAAGAACGACAGGCTACCTTTGTTAGTGAACGTCCACCACCCCACTGATGTGCATTCGAACTGCAAGTTCTTACACACGAACAGTAGCCAACCCTTACCAAGAACGGCAGGCAGGCAGGCAGGCTACCCATGTTACAGTGACGGCAGCACCCGGATGCTACGACCTTGATCGTGACCTTAACAGCGTATACTACGCGGACTAACGCGGCATTCTAACAGCAGTGACGTAGCGCAGACGTGAAACGTGACCCGGCAGAAACGCTGTTGACTAGTAAACACTATCTCGTGGTTTTCCGAGCGAGAAGCGGGCGCCAAATCGTTTGCGAGGAAATCGCAAATAAGGATGACACGACACCACGATCCGCGACACCTCATAACGGCGCGAGTTAATTACGCACGCATGCATAATAGGATTAATTAGGATTTGTCGTTTTTAGTCGCACCGATCAACATGCCAAATTTTCCTCCTCATCTCTGTCGCTGGCCTCCCCCTAGAGGCAAGCATTTAGCCACGGAATAGTGTTTACTCTTCTTCCCAGCGAATGTTTGCATTCCACGGTCACCCGAGCGACACATGGCACGCGACATTCACACAATGCTGCCGGCATAGCACCGAGAATGATGACACAGCAGAAATCATATGAACCCCACAGGCAGTGTCACGTCATAGCAAAATTGTCACATCGCAAGTCAACATTGTTACGCCGTGACAATGTCTCACTGTGACATTGTCACATTGCAACATTGCAATTGTTACATCGCGGCGACGTAGCTGTCACATTCGAAACAATAGAACAAGTGAACTAACCACTGAACATGACAAAACTGGCAAGTTCTGCCTTCTCTGATACACACGGGGAGAAAAGGATAGGAGGAGAGAGCCCACCCACACTCGCGTTTCTACTGCAACTCTGCCGCTACACACAACACAACACCTGAGTTCATTCGGTCAAAAGTTCCAAAAAGAACGTTCAGCCCAAAATTCGTGGAACACATGAAATGCGTCCGAGCATACGTGCACGGACGCGCCAGCGTTCTACACGCGTAAGGCATCAGTAGAGAGTTAGCACGCCGCGCAAACATTCCATCCACTCCATAGAGGTGACGTCGGCCAGCATGCGTTCCGTCACACCTGGGGATGCGTATTGCGGGTTTGGTAGTTGCAGGCCGCGGCTGCATCAGTCGGATCGCCCCCAGCATGACTCATCATCGAAAACTAGCATCGGAACACTTTGCTTTGCCAGTTCTGCTCGTTGCAAAACTCTCCTCTCTCTACGAAAACAGTACGAAATCACAGTGTTCTGCCTTATCTTTGGCATACTGCTGACCCTTCAGCCCGCGGATACGTAACAACAACATTCTCTCGTCTCGCACGAGACCTCGGTACGACCACCATCCCTGACGGGAGGCGTAAAAAATTCTCGGGGCTTCGACGGCGAAATCTGTCGACGCGGCGCAGCAGCAGAGACAACTGACGTGTGTGCGTCACCGCGGGGGACGCGTCCCAGCAAGGCGAGTCCCCTCGTCTGCTCGCACGCACGCACGCACGTGCGACTCTCGACAACAAAAATAGAAGCACGACGGCGGCGCCCTCACGCATGGAACTGTGGCGTCCCTGCGCAGGACATCAGCTCCCTCTGCATGGAACAGCGGCACCCCCTGCAGGACGGCAGTGGCGATCATCATGAGCCGATGAGTACCTTCATGATATGATCAAGTTCCTCGCTAAGCAGTTCGTTCCGGCCGCACGCTGCCGCCGCGTTAGACGTTCTATTGTCTCCGCCCGCCGCCGCCACAGTTGCGGACACCGACGTCGCGGGAAACGAACAGACAAACTCCTCGGCGGCGAGCTTCAACGCCGCAGGTGCCGCCGCCGCCGTAATCATCGGACAGAAGAGGTCAAAGTCGTACAGCGAGAGGTCAACGTCGCCGAAGAAGTCCGCGGTGATGGGCAGCGTCCCCCCGACCGCCGCAGCGGTCTCCGGGGGCCGGCTCCCACCCTCGTCCGAGGAATCGTCCGAGTCACTACCCGACGAAGAGGAGGACGACGACGAGGAGGAGGAAGGCAGGGGGTCACCGCGGTGATGCCCGCCGTTGCTGTCGCCCGCAGTCGCAGCGCCGCCGCTGCTGCCGGTCAACTGGCAGTAGTTGTGTTCGTAGCTGACGAGGGCGGAGGCGGGGAACGCAGAGTCTGCATCGCCGTCTCCTAGCAACCGCAGCGCGTCCGCATCCAACCCCGCTAACGACGACGATGCCGCCTCCGAGAATGCCTGACTAGGTAGGCACTGTGCCATTGCCCCCGCACTGCCGTAGGGGGCGCCGCCGTCGACGCCGTACCTGCCGACCTGAGTCGGCGGGGCATCGCAGAACACCGGCAGCTGATTGGTCCCCACCATGGCGACGACGACCTGCTGCGTGTCGAGGTTGACGAGGGTGTGCTGCGACGGCGCCGGCGTCGGGGTCGGGCGTGGCGAGCCTGTTGCCGCGGCGACGACCTTGTCGTAGTTGGGCGGCGGCACAAGGTCAAGGGTGTCGTCCTCGCCGGCTCCCGGCGTGAAGCTGGCGACAGTGCTCATCGCAAGGGGAGCCATGCCCCGGCTCTGCATCTCTCGCTCCAGATACCTGCCCGCATATATATAGAGAGAGACGTGTTAATGAGGGGAGAGGATAGCAGGGCGTGGAGAGCAAGATGGGGAGAGAGAAGAGAGAGAGAAGATGAGCAGAGAGAGAGAGAGAGAGAGAGAGAGAGAGAGAGAGAAAGAGAGAGAGAGAGAGAGGGGGCGGGGGAGAGAGAGAGAGAGAGAGATAGGAAGCGAGGATGAGAGAGAGAGAAAGCCGTGAGCATAGGAGGAAAAGCACTACAGGTACACCACCGATTTTCCAGACACTGATGGTCTGGAACCTCTTTTAGTCTGGATTAAACTCATGTGAAATTCCTATTATTTTACCGGTGGGCCACAGATGGCGGGGCAGGCGTTGCGGGCGGCGCACTCTCCTTAAATTGTTTTTAAACTGCAGCATTTGGTGGTGAGCTCTTGATCTTATGCAATTCATGCCTTATTTTACTCAAATTTTACAACAAGTGTCAGTGTTAAAAAAATCACAAATAAATTTGTTCAATATAAGTTTCTAGCAGTGCATTGTGCTTTAGAGACATGGGAGGCATTTAGTTGCTAAGAGGTGTATTGGTGAATTATTATTATGTGACCTCTTTTGGTCCGGAAAAACAGATAATCCGGAAAGGCCTTGGAACCAAGGGTTCCGGAAAATCGGTGGTGTACCTGTACCTGAAATATGGCAGGAAAGGACTTTGCTTGGGAATAGTGAAAGCGGACACTACTCTAGCTCAGGGTAGTGCAGTAAGGAAAAAACTTTTTTTGAGAGTATTGGATATAAAGACAGGATATCATCCGAGAACGCGATACATGTATGTGACATCACCCACACACCTATCTGTGCTCATTATTGCCATAAGCAGGTAAATGTCAATATACTTAATATGAAGAGCTAATCATACCATGTATTATTAGCTCAAGTGATAATATAACATAAGGTATATATTACTAATATACCAAGTACGTTATATTATCAAGAGCTAATAATACATGGTATAATTAGCTCTTGATATTACGTATTGACATTTACCTGCACGTATGGAAATAATGAGCACAGATAGGTTTATCTGAGAGTACTGCATGTGAGAAATGACATTATATAACTTGTGTTATTACGTATACGTGTACATTTACCTGTACGTATGGCAATGAGCACAAATAGGATTACCTGAGAGTATTGCATATGAGAACAGAGCGAAGCAGGCTCGGCTCAATACTGCGCTGGAAATTCTTCAGCTTGCACATGGAAGTGTTGAGTATGGACCGGCATTGTTCTTCCATCTCCGACCCTCCTCCTTCTCCTCCTCCTCCTGCTCCCTCGCCGGCGTTGGTGAACCGGTCAGGCAGAGCAGTCTCCTCCTCGAGTTTCCGCTTCACACCTTTATAGTCTAGCTCCAGCATGGTTGCTGATCATCTGCGAATGGGAGAGAGAGTGTGAGATAAGTTAGGTGGGCAATTAACCTATTCTTGTCAGAGAAAGAGAGAGAGACCAAGAGAGAGCGTGAGAGAGAGATAGAGAGCGTGAGAGAGAGTGAGAGAGAGAGTGAAAGAGTGACGCGTTGGTAGGGAAATTGCCTGTTTTCATCGTATAGCGAAGGAGAGAGATTAACGGTCTGGAGGCTGTGTGGAGAAAAACATCGGGATGTGATGAAGCCCCACCAGTGTGACGCTCGCTCAACGCGCTCGCACGCACGGCTGATGAGAATGACGCAGGTAGACAGCGGGATATAACTACGAGCGAGAAGATGAACACGTGAGAGACGTTTTTCTCACGTGACGTCTCTATTCTCACGGCAATTGCGCGATACTGTACGTATGCTTCCGCATGTTCTATGTTATAAAAGTTCACAGTTACAGACAGGTGTCCGTTCTATAGAGGTGATTTTATTGCCAGTAAAGCGAAATGCCAAATGTCCTTTACAGACAGGTGTCCGTTCTATAGAGGTGTGCAGGTTTCAGTGCTTGGCATCGAGTCAGTAGCTACATTAAAACATGTCAGAGAGTCCATCTAGCTGATTCTAGGGATGCTAGCCGATGTAATACCGTGGCTTGAGGAGATTTTCTATTATTCACCATCGATCATTCCGATCCTTCCCTATCACCCACAAAAATGCCCAGGAGGGGTAGGGGATGGGAGAGAGAGAGGGGGGGTGAGAGAGAGAGAGAGAGGGAGGGAGTGAGGCAGGGAGGGACGGAGGGAGTGAGAGATAGAAAGAGAGAGAGAGAGTGAGAGAGAGTGTTAGCGAGTTAAACGGAAGGTTTTTTAGTCAGTGTGTCTTAGGTGTTCCAAATTAACAAAAATCGCGACCACAATGGAATGAAACCCTGTTTTCCGGCAGCCCACGATTTTTATCATTATTACTGCTACAGTAACTTTAGACACATATCCTGGCACAACAACAGATATTTTATCTGCATGATAACTATAAAATATTCACACTTAATTATCGGCTAGACATACCATAGACCATTATTCTCACACAGCCCTAGAACATGCTAGCAGTACTAACTACACAGTTGTGCGCATGCTTGGCAAAAATAAACACATTGGAAAACGTAATGTGACGTTAAACTTTAGCCAGTTTTAAAATATTTTCACATTTTCAGGCTCAATTAACTTTTAATCGTAAAGTTAAACCGAAACATTGCTGCTTTTAGCATAAACACAGGTATTAATTGCAAGTCATGGCACTCCCCCATTTCTCTCCGCGAGCAAAAAATCAATGCTTTACGCTTCTCCTAAAAAGGTCCACAGAGACAAATTTCTTAATCATTCAGCATGGTCTGACGTTAGACCCATCAAAGGAAGAACCTGTTAGTGTTAGTCACAGTACCAGTAGGGCGCCCGCCATACACATGCATGTCGAGACCAATGATCGCCGGCATAACACACAATGACGAACGCCGTTTTCGAAAACACGACAATTTAAAATTTCGTGATTTTACCGTTAAATCTCGAACGCCTACCGGGCCGGGTTCGATTTGAACCGGTCCCTGAAGGCAAAAAGCAAGGTTATCTGTCGGTGAAAAATGCAAAAAAAATGTCACACAGTTGCCAAATGATGATAACATGTAGGAAAGCTAACGGTACTAAAAGAATGTACTTTAGCAGTTTATGATTTCAGCAATTTTCATGATTTATGAACAGAGACGAGAGGAGAGATGCACTTGCACTGCGTGTTTGGTAAAGTATGAACTTTACATGCACCCCAGACACGCACGCACGCACGCACGCACGCACACACACACACACACACACACACACACACACACACACACACACACACACACACACACACACACACACACACACACACACACACACACACACACACACACACACACACACACACACACACACAC